CCCACCCTACCCCACCCCAACCCCCATAGCTTGGCTGGGACTGAGGGAAGAGCATGGGGAGCTGCTCACTTCCTTGAAGGCAGCCTGTCCCAAAGAAACGAGTGTGGTGGCCACAGACATCATCCTAGCAGCCACGCTCAACATTGAAAGCAGTTTGTTTTAGTAATGTCCTTTATTTACCTCATTATATCTAAAATAGTCATGTTTTAGCATATGATAAATATTAAAAAGTAATAATGAAATTTCTTTTTTTTTAAGATTTATGTATTTGAAAGGCAGGGTTACAGAGAAAGAGGGAGAGACAGAGAGAAAAATCTCCCATCTACTGGTTCTCTACCCAGATAGCTGCAGCAACTGGGGCTGCTCTAGGCAGAAGCCAGGAGCCAGGAGCTTCTTACAGGTCCCCCACATGGGGAAGCATTTGGGCCATCCTCCACCGCTTTCCCACGCCATCAGCAGGGAGTTGGATCAGAGGTGGAGCAGCTGGGACTCAAGCCATTGCCCATATAGGATGCTGGCAAGGCACACATCAGCTTTACCCGCTATGCTGCAATGCCAGCCCCTGAAATGTCTTTTTCTTTTTATTTTTTTAAAGATTTATTTATATATTTATTTATTTATTTGAAAGGAAGAGTTACACAGAGGCAGAGGCAGAGAGAGAGAAGTCTTCCATCCGCTGGTTCACTCCCCAAATGGCCACAGCAGCCAGAGCTTGTGCCAGGAGCTTCCTCCAGATCTCCCACACAGCAGAGAGCTGGATTAGAAGTGGAGCAGCTGGGTCTCAAACTGGTGCCCATATAGGATACCAGAACCACAGGCAGCAGCTTTACCCACCACGCCACAGCACCGGCCCTGAAATATGTTTTTCATGCTAAGTCCTCAGAACACCATGTGTGTTTTCCATTGAAGGCATGCTGCACTTGGACAAGTCCCATTTCCCGTGCTCAGTGGCCCACGTGGCCGGTGGCAGCTGCATCAGGCAGTGCAGCTCTAGGTCTAAATGAGTAACAGACCCAGGATATCTCACCTAAAGAAATAATAAAGAGCGGGACTTCAGACACCTTCAGATCACACCACAGAGGGGCCTCCTGGCTCTGCCTGTCCTGCGGCAGGGCCACTGGCTCACCGGGCACCGCGGCTACAGCAGGTGTTTCCTACGAGGCAAGCGAGCTCAGATCTTCATTGTGCCACTTTGCAGCCGTGTGAGGCTAAGCAAGCTGCCTAACCTTGGAGCTCGTCTGCTCGTGTGTGAAGTGGCATGAGATTTCCCCCGTGGGCGGGGCCAGTGAGCTGTCTGCACAGGTCTCAGCCCACACCCCAGGGGCCTGGCAAGTCCTGGAGTCTCTGTTCTGCCAGCCCCCAGGGGCGCTGTGTGTGGGTAGACCCCTTGCCTGTCTCGGAGCTCCCTCGAAGCACACCAGCATCGCCTCTCTATGTTCTCATTTTTCCTGAGCCTGGCACAGGCTGCACCCCAACCCGTTTGAGCCATCTCTCATGCTCCTCCCCTGAATCGATGTTTATCGGCTGCTCGCTGTTTCACCCCCGGCCCTGTGCTGGGCACCAGGGCTTCAGGAGAGAACATGAGAAACACAGCTGCTGCTCCTGCAGAGCTCAGGCCCCGCAGGAGAGAAAGAGGCTGAACAGACTTAAACTCAGGCATTAGTGTGCATGAAATAGAAAATCTTATTCTTTTCTCTAAAAATCAGCTTATTTTACTCTGATTGCCCATCCTGCCAGGTCATCAAAAAAATTCAACCTTAGCCTTCTCAAGGTTTCCCCACCTGAGGTCTTACACAGTGTCCAGGACTTGGAAGGGGGTCCCCACCCCCACCCAGCAGGCATCAGCGTTAGTCCACAGTGGCTGCTATGATGATGCCCACCTGCCATGATGATGCCCACCTGCCATCCTAGTCCATCTGGTTCCCTTTAAGACACTTGGAACAGAGGTTAGGAAACCTGCATTCCGCATCACAATGCCTGGGTCCAATTCCAGCTTCCTCCTAACACGCCCCCTGGGAGGCAGCCAGTGATATAGGTCAACTACCTGAGTCTCTGCCACCCACGTGGGAGAACCAAATGTAGTTCCAGGCTCCTGGCTTGGGCCTGGCCCATCCTCTGCTGTTGTAGGCATCTGGGGAGTGGGCCGTTGGATGGAAGAGCTTTCTTCAGCTATTTCTCAGTTTCTCTCTGCCTTTCAAATAAATATTTTAAAAAAATAAACAAGAAGAAAAGGCCGCACATTTTTGAAAATAATGAAAAATAAATACATAAGTAAATAACTGCTTGGAGCAGAAGGGTCTTGGTGTGGCTGGGAAGGGGACAGCCCAGCCTCCCTTGTCAGCCTGGGCTGTCCCTCCAGGTACACAGCTTCCTCAGCTCAGTCTCCCCGCGGCTTCAGAACCCACAGACTGCCTGCTCCTGGCCCCAGCCTCATTTCCAATTTTTAGTTGTGGGGAAGACGGCATTCTCTCCCCGTCACCCTCTAAGGCCAAGGCCTCCCTGTCTCCTCACACCACTCCCAACACCCAACAGAATCCTTTCAGTGTCCTCAAACGTTGGGAGTGAGCCAGAGGAAAATCCTGAAAGTGATTATTGCTTTCTGCCCCGCCACAGCGCCTCATGGGGACAGGAAACCCAGGCCAGCTCCCGGCTGGAATAAAGGAGAGAAGGGAAAAGCCCACGGGGCAACAACCTCATGAATTAATATTTGAGTAGATTGTCCTGCTGGGACAGCCAGCACCAAGGAGCCAGGTGGAGGAGCTGGGAGGCAGGCACCCCCAGGTGGAGAGGGCAATGGAGGTTCCAAACTGTGTTTGCCTCCTGAGGTTCCCTTAAAAAAAAAAAAAAAAAAAAAAAAAACTGAGATAAGAGCAGGAAGCGAAGGAAGGTGTCAGACACCAGCCAGAGGGTGAGGCCTAGGGACCTCACAGAAGCAGGGAGAGGAGCGGCAGAGCCAGGGAAGCACATGTGAGCCCCACAGCCCATCCTGCCCTCCCCCATGGCATACAGCATCCAGCCTCTGCTTGCACGCCACCCTTCACGGGGAACTCACTTCCTCCCAGGGTAGCCTCTTGCCAACAGCTCTCTATCCCAGGCTTAGATCTTCCTCCATGGAACTGGTTGCTTCTGATTGTGAAGAGCTGGGCTGCATGGAAAACCGCCATGAATCAGAGCCCCTTTGGTCACTTGAATCAGAAAAACCCTGTGTCGGTAGCAACTTCTCCAAGACTCAGTTCCCATCTGCAAACGCCTCACAGTGTTGTATTGGAGGGATGCAGGTGGAACACCCCGCCCCTTCAGCAGCTGTGTCTCCTCCGTCCTTAGGACCAAAGGCATTGCAGTGGTATCCGCTGCTGCAGGTTGCTGTAACTGCTCAGTGAGTTACCTGCTGGTCATCAGAACAGTGCTCAGCATGTCCTAAGTGCTTCGTGCACATGAACCACAATTCCTCATGATTTCCTTCCTTTTTCCCAACAATCAGAAGGTGGTCACTGTGCCCCCCAGCACACCCCAAGTCTTCCCTTCCCCAGGATAAAAGTCTTCAGTACTTGCAGGTAGGCCATCCTCACCCAGATGGGGTGACACCTCCGTGGGCACCCTCACAGGGAAGAGGAGGAGGGCTGTTGTTTCTGGCCCCCTGCCCAGTCCAGTTCCCTTCCTGTCCCACCAGAGAGCAGAGAACAGGATAGGGTTCCAGGCCCAAACTACCCCAACCTTTTGGTAGGTACAGCCCACGGACGGCTCTTGCCCCAGGTGCCTCTCCAGGTGGTGACAGTCCTAACATAATCACTGGCCACCATCGTGTTGGTGATGTTGATGGTGGCAGTGGCAGAAGCAGTGAGAGTGGTAAAGATGTTGTCGATGGTGACAGTGACACTGAGGATGGTGGTGATAGTATAGGTGATGGGCCAGCGCCGTGGCTCACTAGGCTAATCCTTCGCCTTGCAGCGCCGGCACACCGGGTTCTAGTCCCATTCGGGGCGCCGGATTCTGTCCTGGTTGCCCCTCTTCCAGGCCAGCTCTCTGCTGTGGCCCGGGAGTGCAGTGGAGGATGGCCCAGGTGCTTGGGCCCTGCACCCCATGGGAGACCAGGAGAAGCACCTGGCTCCTGCCATTGGATCAGCGCGGTGCGCCAGCCACAGCGCGCCGGCCATGGCGGCCATTGGAGGGTGAACCAACGGCAAAGGAAGACCTTTCTCTCTCTCTCTCTCTCTCACTGTCCACTCTGCCTGTCAAAAAAAAAAGAAGAAGAAGAAAAATATAGGTGATGCTGATGGCACCAGTAACAATGACGGTGATGATGATGTCAGTATTAGAGATGCTGTTGAGACAGTGGCAGTGATGCAGGTAGGACTGTTGAGTTGATAGTGCTGTTGGTGAGTGTTGAGGTGATGGTGTCGGTGTTGGTGACAAGGTTGGTGACACAGATACTGGTAAAGACAGTGGTGAGGTTAGTGATGATGCTGGTGATAGAGAACAGTGATAATAAGCAGATGATTCTGACAGTCCTGGTGTTGGTGGTGATCCTGAAGGTTCCGTGACAGTGATGATGGTACTGGCTGTGCTGGTGGGGGTGGCCGTGACAGTGGCCATGTCATGATCATCATAAATGGTCATTTATTCATGAAGCTGTTGGTGCTGTGAATGGGGATGATGTTTAAGATGACAGAAACAGTAATGATGATGGGGGTTATGGTGGTAATGTTCATGTTAGTATCAGTGATGGTTGTTATATTAATCAAGGTGATGACCCATTGGCCATGTGGATGCGGGTGGTGATGATGACAAGTTTAACCACAGGAATTTCATTCACCCTTTCAAAACTACTTGTTGAAAATCCATGGGGCCAAGAATCAGTGGAACACTGCAGGCCCCCATTGCTCCTGATGAAGTGTAAGAGACCCCAGACGCTCCTCTCCCAGAGCTCTGCTGGCTCATGGCCATCTCTGAGCAGGACCTCTGACATCCAGCTGACTGCCCGTGGCTGTGTGTCTCTCCAGGGTGAGGACTCCCCCCCTGAGCAGAGCCTGGGGGAGTCTCAAAAGAAGAAAGATGGCTTAGCTCAGATTGCAACAGACCTCACCGTGATCCAGTTCATCAAAGGTAAGTGAGCTCTCACCAGGTTATGGGAAGGTGGGGCCAGAGGGACCCCTGAGGCTCCAGCCCCTTCATGCCTTTTATTTATTCATTAACTTATTTATTTAAAAGGCAGAGTTACAGAGAGGCAGAGGAAGAGAGAGAGAGAAAGAGAGAGGTCTTCTGTCTGCTGGTTCACTCCCCAAATGACTGCAATGGCCAGAGCTGAGCTGACCCAAAGCCAGGAGCCAGGTGCTTCTTCCAGGTCTCCCATGTGGGTGCAGGGACCCAAGGACTTGGGCCATCTTCTACTGCTTTCCCAGGCCATAGCAGAGAGCTAGATCGGAAGTGGAGCAGCCCAGGACTTGAACTGGCGCCCATATGGGATGCCAGTACTGCAGGCGGTGGCTTTACCTGCTGCACCACAGCGCCAGTCCCTTCCTGCCTTTCTTGATTCATCTTCTACACTCTGGCCCTTATGAGTACCACATGCTCCCTGCCAGTCTTTGCTCATGTGGTCCTCTCTGCGTAGGCCCCCACTTTTTATTGTTGTCTATCAAAATCTTTCCTGCTCTTCTAGGTCAAGCTCAAGAGCCCTCCTTGCTCCAGTGTGTTGGGCTCTTGACCCGGCAAGGCTGCTTCCCTCTCCCTGGTAGGCCCTCAGAGCCCTCAGGGTTTCTTTATCAGCTAAAATCCAGGCCAGGCCAGCCCAGCCTCCAAGTAGTGAGCTCCTGAAGGTCACAGCCAGTGGTGGCTCCTCCTACCAACCACTGAGCCTACAGCAGGAGGCCTCAGGAAATATTTGTTAAAACCCCAGGCAAAAGCATGGGTGGAGGGAGCTCTGGGCTAAAATCCAGAGGCCTGATTTTTTTTTTTTTTTTCTGATAGGCAGAGTTAGACAGAGAGAGAGAGAGAAAGGTCTTCCTTCCGTTGGTTCACCCCCCAAATGGCCACTACAGCCGGCGTGCTATGCTGATCCAAAGCCAGGAGCCAGATGCTTCTTCCTTGTCTCCCATGTGGGTGCAGGGTCCAAGCACTTGGGCCATCCTCCACTGCCTTCCTGGGCCACAGCAGAGAGCTGGAGTGGAAGAGGAGCAACCGGGACAGAATCCGGCGCCCCAACCGAGACTAGAACCTGGGGTGCCGGCGCCACAGGCAGAAGATTAGCCTAGTGAGCCGTGGCGCTGGCCGGCCTGAGTTTTTGCTCTGGATCCCTGCTTCTATCTGGGTCTCAGGTACCTGTGCAGTGAGGGATAGATGGTGAGCTAAGTAAGACGCACGCTGCTCTGACCCTGACACCTTGAACGCGGGCAGTAACCAGGTCTGTGTTGTGACCAGGTGGTCCTTTCTGAAGATTCCCATCCCAAAGGACACTGAGCACCTGCTGTGTGCCAGGCTCTTGTAGCATGCTGGCTGGCTAGTCAGGAGACGTAGACTTGAGCCCCGCCTCTAACGCTGACCAGTGCACAGTTTTGTCTAGTGACTTCCCCTCTCTAAGCAGCTTCCTCCTCAGGATGGGACCAGTAATCCTTACTCTGCCTCTCTCAAGGACTGTTAGGAGAAGCAATCAGAATGAGGAAGGGAAAAGGCTCTGCATACTATTTTTAAGATCTGCACTTACATAAGATATAATTATTTCCATGCGTGCTCCTACCCTGCTGTGATTGCTCTGACCATGCCCTGGGATGGAGAGTGGAGCTGCCTGCTTTAGGAAGTGAAATCCACAGGGCTTGCTAATTCCTTACTGAGAGTTTTGCAAGAAGGAATCAGGTCTGCCTGTTGAGGAGAGCTAGCTCCTCGTTCCCCAGCATCCTGGGGGAAAGGAGGGCGTGGGCTCCCTGGGGCTAGGCCTACAAGGGCCGGAGCTCCCTAACCTCAGGTCACCCGCAGCTGCTGGAAGGCCCCAGAACACTGCACCATGGAAGAGCTTATTAATCATGGCGTTGGCTTCTGCCCAGAGCAAGGCTGGGGCGGGGTGCTGAAATTGGATCGTAGAATTGGGTGTTCTCTGGCAGTCTGAGCTTCTACGTGAGACTGGGGCACGGCTGGCCACAGGCCCTGTGGCCAGGAAGCCAGCCTGGCTTCTGGGCTTCTGCAGAATTCCACAGGGACCAGCCGGACCTAGGGCCTGGCCTTGACCATCTGGGTCCATGAGAGAGGCAGAGGGTGTTGGAAGCATGGTCCTTCCTTTAGCTAAAGAAGCCTTACACTCTTGGGGAACAAGGAAATGACACGAAGGCCCCTGGCTGATGGGGGAGACATGGTCCCTGAATTGGAGGAGGTTCATGTCTAATGGAGGAGACATGTCTTTGAGTTAAGGGAGGGACCCCCCACATAACCCCAAACTGACAGAGGACACCTGGACACCTGAGCTGTGTGAAACCCCCAGCCCATGGGGAAGAGGCCCTGGAGTGTCTGATGGGGGAGGCACTGCTGAGCTAAAGGCAGCCCTGTGGAGAGAGGAAGAGCTGCCTCTGAGCAGGAGCCCTGCCCTCTAGGAATTTTCCATCTCTCCTGGAGACTGGCTGTAGATGCTGAGGGGGGATGGGCTCAAAGTGGGGAGTGCAGGGGTGGGGGTGAGAACCGTCAGAGATGCCTAGCCATGGAGGGGCAATGGGAGAAGACAGAAGGGGAATGGCCCTTGTCCTGGGCATCAGGAGACCCTTGGGGGCTCCTGGCCATCCCCCAGCCTCTCTGGATCAACTAGAACAAATCCCTGACCCTTTCTGGGGACACTGTGCAGTAAGGGCACCGGAGCTCCGTGGGCCAAGCCAGGGCAAAACCCCACAGCTCCTGCCTGGGGACATCAGATGGTTTGGCAGGGGCAGCTCATGGAGAGGGAGAGGGAGAGTCCAGTGACCTGGATGAGGGCCAGCATCACACCCCCCACTCTGATGCTGGCCTTGTATACTGGGTGTGTGGCCAGGGACTAGTGACAGGGAGTAGGCCTGAGCCGGGAGGAGGGGGAATTCCACAGCCCCAGTCCCCACCCGTCCTGTCTGGACTATTTTGTCTATTTTCTGGCTCCCACAGAAATAGTGCCTGGCCCGGTCCAGGGAGCTAGGGAACCAGCTGACTTGGCCATGCTCTGAGGACACACAGAGATCACTTCCCATGACAGACTGAGGCCCTGGGCCTGCTGCAGCAGGAAGAAAAGAGATCCCCTGACCTCCCGCAGGGCCCTGAAGACCCCCATGGCCATCTCTCTTACCCTGCCCAGCCCAGCCAGGGATTTGCCTTCTCCCTCTTTCCTGCTCTCCTGCCGAACACCCCTGATCTGACTTAGTCTGGCCAGCGGCAGGCAGAAGCGTAGCTTTTGCTCCTTCATTGTAGGGGACAGAGGGGCACACATGTCGGAACAGAAAGCGCTCTTGGACATCACTTGTTCCCTCACCCAGAAGAGACTGACACCCAGAGGGGCAACTTGCACTGAGAACAGTGAGGCTGAAGCACCTTCAGAGGAGCTAGCAGGATGCTGGGGAGGTCACCGGTGCCACAAGAGTCACTTCTCTTCCTGCCTCCCTGCCTGGGTCCCTGCTGTGTACTTAGTCAGAATTCCTCCTCCCCCCTCCCCACCCCGCCCCTCCTCACCAGCTGTCGCCAGTCTCTAGGCCTTCACAGTGTCCTACCTCCAGGAGGACTCCCAGCGCCAAGTCCGCTCAGTTCATTCCTGGAGGCCTGGATTCTGCCCAGTGTCTTGACATGGGATCACACAGTGGTCTGAATGCCCCCTCATTCATTCCTTCATTCGTTTGACAGGAATTTACTGAGTGCCTGTGATGCCTCGGGCTCTGGAGGTCTAGCATTTAACACAACAGACAAACCCCCCTCTCCTGGAGGATGCTTACGTCCTGGCGAGGCGACCATAGCATAGCTAAATGAACCAACTACGTAGACTGACAGGTGGTGTGCTATGGCGAGACACAGACGAGCATAGGGGAGGCAGCCCTGTGCCGGGGACACAGGGAGGACAGGATGGAAAGGGCCAAGGGGAAAAGTAGGTGAAGGAAAGGCGGCCAAAGTGTTGGCATGGGATAGAATCACACCAAGGGGACTTCAGCAAGTTTGTGAAAATGGAAGTACAAAATACTTTACATAAAAATGTTTTATTTGGCCGGCGCTGCGGCTCACTAGGCTAATCCTCCGCCTTGCGGCGCCGACACACTGGGTTCTAGTCCCAGTCGGGGCGCCGAATTCTGTCCCAGTTGCTCCTCTTCCAGGCCAGCTCTCTGCTGTGGCCAGGGAGTGCAGTGGAGGATGGCCCAGGTGCTTGGGCCCTGCACCCGCATGGGAGACCAGGAGAAGCACCTGGCTCCTGGCTTTGGATCAGCACGGTGCGCTGGCCGCAGCGCGCTGGCCACAGCGGCTATTGGAGGGAGAACCAACAGCAAAGGAAGACCGGCGCGCTGCGGCTGGCACACCCTGCTGATCTGATGGCAGGAGCCAGGTACTTCTCCTGGTCTCCCATGGGGTGCAGGGCCCAAGCACTTGGGCCATCCTCCACTGCACTCCCTGGCCACAGCAGAGAGCTGGCCTGGAAGAGGGGCAACCAGGAAAGAATCCGGCGCCCTGACCGGGACTAGAACCCGGTCCATGAACTTTAAAAACCGTTCGCATACATGGAGTTCAAAATCTTGTGTTTTTTGTTTTTGTTTTTGTTTTTGTTTTTGTTTTTGTTTTTGACAGGCAGAGTGGACAGTGAGAGAGAGAGACAGAGAGAAAGGTCTTCCTTTGCCGTTGGTTCACCCTCCAATGGCTGCCACGGCCGGCGCGCTGCAGCCGGCGCACCGCGCTGATCCGATGGCAGGAGCCAGGAGCCAGGTGCTTTTCCTGGTCTCCCATGGGGTGCAGGGCCCAAGCACCTGGGCCATCCTCCACTGCACTCCCTGGCCACAGCAGAGGGCTGGCCTGGAAGAGGGGCAACCGGGACAGAATCCGGCGCCCCGACCGGGACTAGAACCCGGTGTGCCGGCGCCGCTAGGCGGAGGATTAGCCTAGTGAGCCGCGGCGCCGGCCTGGAGTTCAAAATCTTTTGCACCAAAATCAGTTTTATCTTTTAATTCCATTTTCCGCAAACTTTTTTAAATACCTCTCTATGGAATCAGATAGATTGAATGGAGATATACACAGCGGATAAATGGCCATCTAACGCAATGGAATGAAACAGAAGTTTAAAAATGGAATAGAATGAAGGAGAAAGGAGGGAAATGTAATGGGGAAGAGCTGAAAGCAATAGAAGGAAGTGGAAGGCAAAGGAGTGGGACAGCTGGAACTGAACAGAGCAAGCTGGGCCTGCGCTGACTGCTCCCTACTCGCCCCAACAGTCTTCCCCAGGGTGCTGCTGCGGACCCTGCGCCACCCCATCTTCCTGCTGGTGGTCCTGTCCCAGGTGTGCATGTCGTGCATGGCGGCGGGCATGGCCACTTTCCTGCCCAAGTTCCTGGAGCGCCAGTTTTCCATCACAGCGTCCTATGCCAACCTGCTCATCGGCTCCCTCACCATCCCCTCGGCCATCCTGGGCATCGTGGTGGGGGGTGTGCTGATCAAGCGCCTCCACATGGGCCCGCTGCGCTGCGGCATCCTTTGCCTGCTGGGGGCACTGCTGGGCCTGCTGCTCACCACGCCCCTCTTCTTCACCGGCTGCTCCGCCCACCGGATCGAAGGCATTGCCCAGAGGCCCGCGTGAGTGTGCGCATGCGCGGGGTGGGTGGGGCCAGGACCGGGCGGCTTTAGGGGAGGCTAGGTAGAGCCTCTTCAGTAAGGTGTCAGGCCCTCTGGGCAAGGCAGTCTCATCCCTAGGGGGTGGGGGGATGGAGGCTGAACCAGGGCAAAGCAGCCCAGCCTGTAGGCCCAGCGGAGGCATGGCTGAGGCCTCAGGGCAGGGGAGCCCCTGCCAGAGGAAGGGTGCCTAGGAGGAAGCAGGCTCTACAGCACCCGGAGCTGGGGTGGGAGGAGTGGGGGAGGTGCTGGATGGCCCTGTCAGGAGGCTGCATTTGGGGCTCAGGCACTGGACACCTCGCAGGTGCCTGGTTCTTAGAACCTGCGAGCTGAAAGTCCGCCGTTCCTTGGCCCAGATGTTCCAGAATTCGTTGTCCACACCCATGAGGCAAGCCCCTGGCTCCTCCCTCCTGCAGGGAGGTCCCTGGAGCCTGTCACCTCCCCTACCACACCGTCCCTCACACACAGGCGCTTCCCCCTGGGAGCCTTCCAGGAGCAGGTGTTGGGAGTTGCTCCCCACCAGAATGGCTCCTGTCCTGGACGCTGCTGCAGGCCAAGTTAGCCCAGCATCCTGCCAGAGTTCCCCGACTTGCTCTGTGCCACCTCTTCCTGGGCCTCTCTTCCTCTGCCCAGGTGCGTGCTTTCCTACCTGGGGCTCCATCTGTGTGGCTGGCCACTGTCCCCTGTGTGGCCCTGCGCTGGGCACCAGCCTCTGTTCAGGGCCAGGGAAGGCCTAGCTCCCCGCCCGCATGTCCGAAATTCCCCTCTCACCGCCTCTCCCCATCTCCCCCTCCCCTGTCCCCTCTCCTTTTCCTAAGCAGGGGGGCAGCTCTGCTTTCTGGAACGGGGCCTTCTGGATACAGTGCCCTGTGCCTCGGGAAGCCCTTCGCCTGATAATTAGTGACTTTTAGAGTAAAAAGTAAATAGGTATTTTTACCACAATTTTTTAAAAGTAAATAGAAAACAGTTCATTCCCCACGCCCCATCTCTCCCCTCTCCACACTCCTTGGCGTTGCTGTCTCACCACACCTGTGTTCGCAGCCATGTTTTTGCAATTTATGCATTAGGCTCAGGGTTCTAATTCATCAGCAAAGCCTTTTGAGACCAACTGAGCAAGTTGAGGAGGTTCCTCACGTTCCTGCCGAGCTGACATTACCCATGCGGCCAGAAACAGAGCAGTTCTTGTTTGACATCCCATTGAATTCCATGGGATCTCTGTCGTGGGCCCACTTCACAGCTGAGTATACTGAGAATCAGAGAGGGGAAGTCACCCACCCAGCTGGGACAGCGCAGAGCCTGGAGCCAGGACTCTCCCCACAGAAGCTGCCTGCTCCAGGTGGTCTTGAGAGAGGAGGGGCCGAGGGAGAACCCACACACATCTCACCCGATCGGCCTTCCCACTGCTGGCAGAGGGCTCTGGGCAAGGCTTCCTCCTGGGCCGAGCACCTGAGCATGCTCCCGATGGCCCTCAGCTCAGACAGTGCCAGCCTGCTTCCCCAGCCCCCTGCAGGGGAGACGTGCCAAGACCATGGGGTGGGAGAGGAGACAGTGCCAAGTGATGATCTTTCTCCCACACAGATGGAGCACCCACATCTCAGGAAGGGGTTGGAGCTCACCTCTGCCCCACGCCCCACCCCCACCCCAGCGACCAGTCCTCTCAACAGCTGCCCTGCTCCCAGCCTCCCCAGACCCACTAACCCCTGCTCTATGGAACTGATATGTCACCAAGCTTGCCAGGCCCGCCGATCCACCGGGGCCTCAGCCCCACACACTCCCCCAACCCGAGAGGGGGCCCTCCAGCCTCCCTCTGCCCAGCCTGGCCACTGACCCCTGTGTTGCCCTGCGCTGGGCACCAGCCTCTCTGGACCCCTGCCATCTAGTACTTGCTTGCTGTACTCCCTCCCAGCATGAAACCAGAGCCAACTCTGCCTCTCCCTCAAACTGAGCCTCTCTCTGACCTCCTTCCCTGTCCCCACCCCCACCTTGCCCGGGCTAGCTGGAGCAGATGCTCGGGAGGGAGGCAGGTGGGAGTGGACACGCGGAGCAGGGTGGTGACAGGGAGGAAGGGCCCTTCGCCCAGCGGACAGAGAAGCTGAGGCCCAGAGAGAGGCAGGAACAGGTTGGAGTTGCTACAGCTGGTCAGGTGTCCTGATTGGGCTCCACACGCAAAGGAGGCAAACCCCAGCTCCTGAAGACCCACGCAGTCCACCTCTGGCACTGAGTTCTGGAAGGAGCACATCTGGGTTCCTCCTCGAAGGGTCGCTGCGGAACAGGGATCTCTGCCGAAGAAGCTCCAAGACCCGAGGATCTGGGAGCTGAAAGGGGGCTTGGAGGCCTCTCGTCCAGCCCAGTACCCACTTCCCCCATTGGCCCACCTCCCTGCTCACGTCCCTCTATGGCAAGGGGCTCCCCACTGCCCCATCTGGGGCAGCCCGGGTGGTGGAACACCTCTGTGTGCGGCTCTCCATGCTGGGTCATGGGCCCAGCGCTACAAAGGCCCCTGCTTGAGGCCTGGGCAGCAGGAGAGCCGGGCCAAACCTCAGGAGCCTGGCCTTGTCTCTCTCCAGCATGCAGCCGGAGCCGGGCCTGTTTCCCAGCTGCATGGAGGCCTGTTCGTGTCCAGCAGATGGCTTTAACCCTGTGTGTGACCCCAGCACCCACGTGGAGTACATCACGCCTTGTCACGCGGGCTGCACGAGCCAAGTGGTCCAGGAGGCCACGGACAAAAGCCAGGTGAGTCTGGGCCCTGGAGCAACCTCTGCCAGGGGCTCTGTCTTCCCTTGTGGGCCCAACGCGCTGAACCCCTCTGCTTGTTCCCTCTCCATGGGTCTCTCCTGTTAGCAGACGTAGGACGTTACTCTCTGCATAGGCTTTCCCTGCCAGCTTGGGTCCAGGGCTCCGAAGCAAGCCAGCTCCAGGCCCTGGCCATCTGGGCAGGGGAGAAAAGGAAATGACTCAGAGGAATTTCAGGGAATCTGAGAGGCCAGAGGGGTGGCTCCTGCAAGTACCCACAAGACTGTGTGTAGAGGGCCAGTGCCAGGCTGCCTGTCATGACAACATCTCCCTCCTCCAGAGTCTCCATCATGCCAAGCATCAGGGCCACAGCCCGAGAGCCTCCTCAGGGAGAGGCCCTGCCCCGCCAGCTGCTGACAGGCCTTGAGAACCAGCCAGGCACAGCCTGGGCTGGGTAAACCTTCGCACCTGGGATCTTCACAGTCCCAGCCTTGAGCCTCCTTACACCGCTGTCCTCATGTAGTTCATCTCCCTGAGAGCCCTCCCAGAGGCCCCAGGTCCTGGCAGGGGGCCAGGCTGCCAACAAGGCCATGTACTCTTGTGCCTATGGGTCCCTGGGCACAGCCCAGCTCAAATCCCTGTCCTGCCTGTTAGGACCCTGTCACCCTAGGCAAATTGTTGGACCTGGGCCCCAGTTTGCTGGTTTGGAAAACCAGAGTGATGTCATTGCCGCCTACTGCAGAGCAGGCACTGTGCTAAGTGCCTTACCAGGAAGAATTCACTGAAGTGTGAATGAAGGGCCCTGGAACACAATCCATGAAAAGTGCTTAGCCTGGCACCCAGGAAACTTTAAGACTCAGTAATACTCCCACATGCACAAAAGGGGTCTTCAAATAGTTCGCTGGGGCATGCCCATTATGAAAAGCTATGCATGCGTTTCAGAATTTTTGCACCAAAATCAACAGATCTTTTAATTCCATTTTTCCACAAGCATTTTAACGTATCCCTGTGCTATGCCCATAGTATGGGTAGGAAGTGGAGGCCTGGAGGGCACCAGAGTCTCAGACCAGAGCTGGGTCTGGAACCCAAGGCTCTTGCCTCCCAGCCTGGCCTTCAGTTAGGACCAGCCACAGAAGTCTGAGTTTGGAGGTAGCGTCTGGAGGAGGGTGCAGCTGGGACCAGGCCACTCAGGGACGGTCACACCGGCCTGAAGTTGTCTCTTAAGGAGTCTGCATCCCCAGGCAGACTGTGAGCAGCCAGGCTTGGGATGGGTCACTCTGGGCCCGGTGCGGGTGCACTCAGTGACAGTCTTTATGCTTGTTACTTATTTTCACTTTACTTGAAAGGCAGACAGTGAGAGATCTTCCATCTGCTGGGTCACTCCCCAGTTGCCTTCAACAGCTAATGATGGGACAGGCTGAAGCCTAAAGCCATGAACTTGATCTGGGTCCCCCACATGGGTGGCAGGAACCCCAGTACTTGAGCATCACCTGCTGCCTCCTGGGGTGCACGTTAGCAGGCAGCTGGATCAGAAGCAGAGACAGACTCAAACTAGGCACTCCCTCGTGGGCTGTGGGCATCCCCAGTGGTGACTTAACCCACTGTGCCAAACGCCTGTCCCTATAAGCATTTTTTTTTTTTTTTGACAGGCAGAGTTAGACAGTGAGAGAGAAAGAGACAGAGAGAAAGGTCTCCTTTTTCCATTGGTTCACCCCCCAAATGGCTGCTACAGCCAGCGCACTGCGCTGATCCAAAGCCAGGAGCCAGGTGCTTCCTTCTAGTCTCCCATGTGGGTGCAAGGCCCAAGTACTTGGGCCATCCTCCACTGCACTCCTGGGCCACAGCAGAGAGCTGGACTGGAAGAGGGGCAACCGGGACAGAATCCGGTGCCCCAACCGGAACTAGAACCTGGGCTGCCAGCACCGCAGGTGGAGGATTAGCCTAGTGAGCCATGGCGCCAGCCAACACCCATAAGCATTTTTCAACAAGTGAGCAAGCAGGTAGGATCGGGAGAGGTGGCCGGCCACTGAGCTCAGGGACCTGGGGCAGGAGAGGAGAGTGAAATCATTCAGGAAAAGAACTCCCTGCCATGGGACGGGAATGAAAGGTTGGGGGGAATGTCAAGAGGAGAGCCTCCAGCCTCTGCGTCCATCCGGCCACCTTCTGCCTTGGCGAAAAGGACCCTCCAGGGCCTCTCTTCCAGTAACCCTGCCACAGCGCATTGCTCCACTTCCTGTCCCTCGTTTTCTCTCCAGCCCGGTGGCTGCTCAGCCTGCAGTTGAAGGTCCTGCAGTGGCCAGCAGTGCATGTTCAGTAGGCCCCCTACAGGTGACAGGGCCCCTGAGCACGCACATCAGCCGGCTGGGCACCGGGGAGAGCATCAGTCCCCACCCCAAAGTTCTCTCCCTCCCTGGCTCCACCTCTAAATCAGAGCCCTGTCGTCCGGCCACCCCCCTTCCCCTTGCCTCCCCCATCAGTCCAGCCATCAAGCAGCTGCCACAGGCTCCCTTGCACCCTCGGGTCTCATCTGCCCCGGGCTCAAAATCTTTCCATTATGGACCCCAAGGCTTCCCGACCCTGTGACATGGGAAGTGTCTCTCTGTTGGCTGCCAGAAGGGAGGTGAGAGGTCCAGAGGGATCCTGCTGCCCCCAGCCAACATGGCCACCCGGAGTACGGATGTGACCCATCCCTCAGCACCTGTCTCCTACCGAGGCCCCAGGTGACTTGGACACACTGCTCAGGAAGCTGTGATCCATGGGGAAGAAAGGCAAAGCCCAGGCCTGTTGGCTTGGCCTTCCTCCTGCCAGGCCTGAGGACACTGGAAAGGTCATTCCACTCTCGGGGAACCCCGGGTGGAGGGAGGGCAGTCGCAGGCAGCCATCCAGCATGCCGAGGGCCAGCCCAGGGTGCACTCCTGTGGTTGGTGTGTAGTGTTGGCAAAGTTGTGCTCACTCGCTCTCCGCTTCCTTCCCCCTCCACGCCTCAGCCCAGGTTGAGCACAGATAGCCTATGCCTCTGCACCTGCACCTGCCTGGCTCCTCCAGCCACCTGGACTCAGCTGGCTGTGGCTCTCGGGCCTTCAGGCCTTCTCTGGTCTCAGGCCTTGACCAGCTCCTGAGTGCTCTAATCTCTGCTTTCTCCCCGCCTACCCCTCCCCCCAGCCCCAGGTTCTCTACACCAACTGCAGCTGTGTGGAGGGGGGCGGCCCTGTGCTGGGGGGCTCCTGCGACTCGGCCTGCAGCTACCTGGTGCTGCCCTTCATGCTCCTGGTCAGCGCGGGCACAGCAGCGTTCTCCATCACGCACACGCCTTCCTTCATGCTCATCCTAAGGTGAAAGCAGGAGCAGGGTGAGGCCGTGGGCTGCCGGGGGCACAAGGCAGTCTGGGGAGGTCAAGGAAGAGGCCACGCGGGCGTCCTGGGCACCACGACAGACCAGGCCCTCCCTGTTCTGTCTTCATCCCCACGCAACCTCCCAAAGGGAGATCTTTCTCCCCATCTCGCAGATCAGAAAACTGAGGCTCCAAGAAGCGCAGGAGCTGGCCCAGTCCCAGGGCAAGTGCTGGGTAGCATAGAGCCCGTGGTTCTGCATGCCGCCCAGGCCACAGGAGTTCCTGTGGACCCAGCCCAAGCCGAGCACTGCTTTTTGAGTTAAGATCTTTCTGGCTTTTGTCCTGAGAGTATGTGATGGGCCTGACAAATTGTCACCTGAATCCAAAGCCAGGGTGCCCTGAGGTGGCGGCTGGGAGAAGGGGGCCCCAGGGCAAGAGAATTCCAGGGTTTCATGCGCTGGGATTATTGCGTCCACTGGAGGGGGCCTTGCATACATTGGAGACATACAGCTCTGTAGGACAGGCTGGCGGGGGGACAAAGTAGGGGCTCAGGTGTCCCGGCAGGCCGCCGAGGTCCTGGCTTACACAGGAGTCAGCTGTGGGGTCTTGGCCAAGCCCCTTAACCTGTCCATTTCCTTAAATGTAAAATGGGGTGAATGAGACACCTGCCTCACAGGGGCTTCCAGGGGGTGCAGGATGGGACTACTAAGCCTGGAGCAAGCACCCATAAATGCCAGCCCCCGGTGTGAGTTAGGAGATGCCAGTGACTGCCACGGCATCCCAAGCTGTGGAATTACCGAGCTTGGGGAAGCCGGAGGCGCATCGGGCTGTTCCAGCTCCAGGTGTTGCCAAGCATGGCAGGAAGGTGGGAGTCAGGTGGGGGAAGAGGGCCAGTGTCTGTGGCCAGAACAGAGTGCTGATGGTCAGCGGGGTGGGGGTGGGGGGGTCCTGGTACACGGAGACCAGTCCCTGCAGGGTGAAGGGAGATGGGGTGTAGGGCCTGCCACACCCCTAGTCAGGCTAGACCTTGGCGGGGGGGGGGGGCGGGAAGTAGGGGGAAGCAAGGGCATGTTTGGAGTCCCGATGGGGGCTGGAGCCCTCGCCATGCTCCTATCCCTACCTCCCTGCTTATTAGGGGAGTGAAGAAAGAAGACAAGGCTTTGGCTGTGGGGATCCAGTTCATGCTGCTTAGAGTTTTGGGTAAGTTCCCTGCTTGGACTCTTCGGTGGGGTGGGGTGGTGGGTAGATCCAGACCCCTCCCAGGTACCCTGTGCAAGCAGAAGGAGCCAGAGACTGCTGGGAGACCCCCTCAGGCACAGGGTGACCGGTGGGCTTGAGGGCCAAAGACTCCTGGGCTGAGGGGCCCCCACAGCCCCAGCGCCTGGTGGGTTTATGTGCCAGGGAAGGGGGAGCGGTGGCAGGGGAAGGCCAGACCACCATCATCCCCTGAACCCCTCCTCTCCTAGCCTGGATGCCCAGCCCCGTGATCCACGGCAGTGCCATCGACACCACGTGTGTGCACTGGGCCCTGAGCTGCGGGCGCCAAGCTGTCTGCCGCTACTACGACCACGACCTGCTCCGGACCCGGTGAGACGCTGGCATTGTGCCAGCAATGCCTTCAGTGCCCCCAGCAGGACACCACCACGGGGAGGTCCGCTGAAGTCCACTTGCTGGGTGACAGGTGCTACAACCAGTGCTGAGCTCAGCGGCCCTGCCTCCCCCTTCACGGGCGAGGGAAGTGAGGGGCCGGCGAGCAGCCTGCAGCCACGCAGCTCACAGAGTCCTGTCCGACCACAGAGTCCATTCAGGCAAGCAGCCCTGCTGTGAGAGACTCAGGGTAGGAGGCTGGGGAGAAAGCCCTGACCAGGGCACAGGAGGCCTGGGTTCCAGGCCCAACTCTGTCTCCCTCATCAGAGGACTCACCCTTTCTGGGACTCAGTCTTCCTATCTGTACAGTGGGGAGCTCCAAAGACCTTGAAGGTGCAGAGCCTGCGGCCTGGGTTGAACATGGGGAGGACTTGTCGGCACGGCACGGCCAGGGCGGGAAGCTGGTCTCTTCCAGAGAGGAGGGCAGAGTTCCTGCAGGCTGGGACTATCTAGGGGGACTTCCTAGAGGAGGAAAGTTCCAGCAAAGACCTTGATGGCTTCAGCTGGGCAGAGGGAACCCTTCTTTCCTCGCGGCCAGTGGGGCAGTCCCGCCTTGTCCAGCCCCTTAGAGGCAGGGCCAGCCCCAGGCACAGAGCAGTCACAGTGTAGGCCGACGCCCAGGCTGCTGCCTCCGCCCAGGGCTCCCTCTGCAGAGCTTGTCCTCCTGCCAGGGAAAGGCCCCCGCAGAGCTCAATGTGTCCCCAAGGCCTCGATGCCTCTAACTGCCTGCACCCTGCCCCAGCCCAAGGACGTGCATGCCCTGGACTGGGGGCTCTGGAGTTCAAGGGCTCCTCATTCTCTCCCCAGGTTCATCGGCCTCCAGTTCTTCTTCAAAACAGGCACCATGGTCTGCTTTGCCTTAGTCGTGGCCATACTGAGGCAGCAGGATAAAGAGGCGAGGGCTGCGGCCACTGTGTCCGGGCCTGGGTCCAGCCCTGGTCTACAGCAGAAACTGTTGGTATCGGAGCCAGAGAGGAAGCGCGAGGATTCCAGAGTGTGAGCTACGCCAGGGCTGGTCCTCTGGGCCCCTCGCCCGAGGCTGGGCGTCCGCAGCCCTGTGTTCTTGTTCCGGATGCACCACTAAATCGCTGTGTGATATCGGGCGAGCCACTGGCCCTCTCAGGACCGTTGTTTGCTCATCTGTGCTAAGGAGTTACCGGGAGTCGTTCTAGGGTCTCCCCGCCACCACCCCATCCTCGGCAGTCCATAGCCGGCCCATCATGCCGGGCCCCAGCCAGCTCCACCGCTCCCCTGGAGCCCCCACTCCCAGCATCAGCCGCTTCGTGTTTCCCATGCCCAGGGTCTTGCCACCCCATAAAGCTGTGACCATCCCTGTGGTCACCTCCCCGGCCCCTGGCAGCCTTCAAGAAGTGTCTGTTTGGCGCCCCCTGGAGGCAGAGCCCTGAGTTGGCCTCTGAGGGGTGACCCACGGGGAAGAGGGAGCTGGCCTCACCTTCGGGACTTCCGGGAGTGGTGGGGTCCCTCAGGAGGCCTGAGGCAGGGGGTGGGGGCCCAGGGAGTCTGGTCTGCAAGTCCCGGGCCTTGCCCTCAGGAAGCCACAGTTTGGGGCCCTTCCTTGGATATTGTCTAACTTCAGATACCAAACACACAGCACACGTGCACCGCTCCTTGCACATTGCCGAGGTCTTACAGGTGGCCAGGGGCCACCAACGTCACCAAGATGCCTGTTAATAGAGTCTGTGTCATCCAGTGCCATGGATAATGTCCGCTTCTGTGACACCCGGGGTTTGCATGACGCCAGGGCCTGTAACGTGGGAGCGGGAAAGCCCAGCTTTGCGTGACGAGTGACCCTGCGGCACGCTTGGGTGAGAACCGGCCAGTCCCCTCCTGCGGCAGGCCCTGTCTTGCTTGCTGGCCAGTCTTCTGTCTGGGAATAGGAGAGCGTTTCCTGCTCTCAGCCCAGTCTGTCCACATAACTCATCTGGCTGGGGCTTGGGGCTTGGGACTTGGGCGGCAGCAGACGGAGCCCCCAGCAGCAGCCCCGCTGGCCCCGTGTGCCCAGCTCTGGAGCATACGTGGCTTTGCCCTTGGAGCAGCCACAGCACCATGACTTTGAGGCTTCCCCCCGTGAAAGAACAGGAGGAGGCGCAGAGGTTCTCCTTCCTTTTCATCCTGGTCACTGCTTGCCGCTGTTTAGCAAATGTCCCAGCGTCAGTTCAGCCATGCCAAGAACGTCAAAGTCTCCTCCAAGAAGAAGAGGCTTCCAGTCTGTCTGATTCCTTCTCCTTCCCTCCTGTTTCCCAGGATCTGCAGAAGTAATCTGGAATTGTGGATACAGCTTGTGCTAAAATTTCATCCTGTATAATGTCTCTTCTATTGTTTTTTAAAGATGTATTTATTTATTTGAAAGAGTTAGTGGGATGAGACAGAGAGAGAGAGAGAGAGAGAGGGGAGGGGCTGGGGTCTTTCATATGCTGGTTCACTCCCCAAATGGCTCCGACAGCCAGGGCTGGGCCAGGCCAAAGCCAGGAGCCTGGAACTTCATCTGGGTTTCCCACCTGGGTGGCAAGAGCCCAAGTACTTGGGCCATCTTCCGCTGTTAGAAGGGAGCTGGATGGGAAGTGGAGCAGCTGCGGCTCCAATGGTGCCCATATAGGATGCCAGCATTGCAGGTGGCACCACAACGCTGGCCTTGTAATGTCTCGTCTGTTAGAAAAATCCTCTTACAAACTGCGTTAGAGGTCGGCAGCAAGCACATTACTTCCAGTTACTGAGATTCAGGTTTTCCTGGGCTCGCTGCTCGCCATCGTTTCCGGTGGATGACATCCTTGCCTGTCTTCATATCCTGCTGTAATTGTTGTTTGACTGGGTTACTTCCCCTAGCGATTGTTTCCAAAACGGACTCGGGTGGCGAGGGCCTCTGCGCACTCACCTGCCCGAACTGCCGTTGGCAGTTCACAGAAGAAACCAGGTCCAGAAGGTAAGGGAACTGTCCAAGATCACACGGCAAATAAACGGTGGGGCCAGGGCTGGAGCCGGCTCTGACAGGAACTGGAGCTTACACGAGCTCAGGAACCCTCTTGCAGAAAAAGAATATAAAATGATGACTACAAAGTTAGTGAGAAAAGGAACCAAATTCATCACACATTCCGGAACAATAGCACAGTGTTTGTACCTGAAACTGCCTTGCACGCTCCCCAAATACATTCCCCGCCCCCAGGTCCTTCCTCCCAGGCCAGCCTGTGGCCATGCACTCTGCAAACCCTCTCTCTGCTGCTGCTCCTCCACCCGCTCCACGTTCCACTGCCCTGGATTCAGCCAACCACGGATGGAAAAATATCTACATGTATAATTTTTTAAACAGTTCTTGATTGATTTGAAAGATGGAGTAACAGAGTGAGGGAGAAACAGAGCGAGAAAGAGATCCCATCCTCTGGTTCACTCCCCAAATGGCCACCATGACTGGGGCTGGGCCAGGCCTCAGCTAGGAGCCTGGAACTCCATCTGGGTCTCCACGTGGGTGGCAGGGACTCAAGCAGTTGGCCCTCTGCTGCTGCTTTCCCCAGCACGTTAGCAGGGAGCTGGATCAGAAAGGGGGCAGCTGAAACCAGCACCAGCACTCGTATGGGATGCCAGCATCGCAAGTGGCAGCTTTAACCCTCTGTGCCACAATGCTGGCCCCGAAAATAAATTTTTCTTTTTTTAAAATTTTTTTTTTATTTGACAGGTAGAGTTATAGACAGTGAGAGAGAGAGACAGAGAGAAAGGCCTTCCTTCTGTTGGTTCACTCCCCTAATGGCCGCTGTGGCTGGCGCTGCGCCTATCCAAAGCCAGGAGCCAGGTGCTTCCTCCCGGTCTCTCATGCGAGTGCAGGGCCCAAGCACTTGGGCCATCCTCCACTGCCCTCCCAGGCCACAGCAGAGAGCTGGACTGGAAGAGGAGCAACCAGGACTAGAATCCAGGGTGCCGGTGCCGCAGGCGGAGGATTAGCCTAGTGAGCCATGGCGCTGGCCCGGAAATAAATTTTTCAAAACATGCATCGGTGCTGAATACATGCAGACTCTTTTTCTTGTTATTATTCCCTAGACAATGCAACAATTATTTACATTGCTTGTACATAAAAGTGGGCATCGACGGCCATCTAGGGTTGAGTTAGCACACAGGAGCACGGGTGCAGGTTCTCTGCAAATCCTGTACCAGTAGATGTTAGGCACTCGAGGCCCACAATTCCTAGTATCCACTGGGGCTCCTGGAATCCGCGCCCCAGGGTATCGGGGACAATGTACTTCTGGAGTCAGGTGGCATAAAACACTCAGATCCCCACGTGACCTTTGCATGTGGCACCTTAATGAGACAGTGCTGAGTGGACAGTGGGTAGGGATATTCCTGGAAGCCAGCTCTACACAGGGGTGGCTGGCAGTCATTATCTAGGCACACAGATCACGGAAAACCACATACATACATCCCAACGAATCCGAACTAAATCTTTTTCCAACTAGACGCCCCTTAGCCAGATCCCAGGCCTCAGAGAAAGGAAAATTGTGACCCAGGGAAAGCGGGAGTGGAAACAGCGATCGCGGTTGTGGTTAAGGTGCCTTCCCTCTGCAAACGTTATCAAAGCACAACCAAACGCACTGCGTGCGTGCCGGGGAGGCGCGGCTCCTCCGGCAGCACTGGCTCCGCGGAGAGGCTGCCTCTGAGATCTGAAGAAGACGAGGACTTGGGAGTGGTCGAGTGGGGGTGCCCAGGAGTCCTCAAAGAGATACCAACCATGGACTGAGCAGAGAACTAAGGGGAGGAGCGGGGTGGAGGGGGGCTGGAAGTGGCCCCTCCCCTCACATTGTCCCTGGTCATGAAGTCACAACAAGTATTTGCATCTGTGAGCTCTCCTTCCCAGCCTGTCCCTGGGGGGTGGGAGGAGACGACATCCCAGTCTCCCCGCTAGGTTCTTCTAACAGCAATAGTAGCAAGTTCCAGCAGAGTGGAGGGCAGAACGAGGGCCGGAACGGACACCGCCTGCTGGCCCCGAGTCCCTTTTGCCTCAGCAGCTGGGGGCAAGGAACCATGAATGGCACGCTGGCGACAAGAGCCAGAGCCCATGGGCACTCACCGCTGCCTGGAGGCGTTGCGTCCTCTCCCCGAACCTGCTGTTCCCTCTGCCCACACTGCCTTCCTCGTGCCCACCCCACTGTGGTCTCTCCAGCCCCACTTCATGAAGTCCTACTGAGAGTTCCAGGTCCAGCTCAAAGGCCGCCACCTCTAGGGAGGCAGCTCCACTCTGGGGGATAGGCAATGGGGGCAGGCGACAGTCACCTTGGGGAACCTGACACAGACTCACTACTAAAACAAAAACAAAGCAAAACAAAAAGCACAAAAACACACTTGTGACTCCGAGTTCAGAGGCTGAGGACCTGCTGAAGCCCAGGTGTAGACCTCCTCTGAGTCCAGGGTCCCAGCAGAACCCCTAAGTGGAGTGAAAAGGTTGGAGCTGCAGATATCGTCAGATCTGGGTTCAAATCCTGACTCTGCCACTTTTTCTCAGGGTGACCCTGAACGAATGATGTAACATCTCTGCACCCATTTATTTGCCAGTAAAGGGCGGTAGATTGGACTGGTCTCTGCTTCCAGGAACTGGTAGAGACACATGAATAACGTGCTCATCCATGGCTGCACCTGCTGGGTGAGACTGGTAAGTTTCCTTCCTGTCCGTCCCCGAGAGAGCCGGGGATGAGCACTGAAGCGGGCCAGGGGAGAGGCGCAGGCTGGGGGAGGAGGCCCACCCCTGGCCCTGCCCCGGCCCCAGCTCCGCTTGTCCCTAATCTCTCCTCCGCTGTCAGCCAGGGCTCAGCTGGCCCAGCCTTATCTCTCCCCACAGCCAGCCTGGGACAGCTTTGCTCCACCAGATTTACATTTTTATTGATTTTCTTTCTCTCTTCCAGAGCAGTCCCTTCCTTCTGCTTCCCTTTTGGCTATAAAATGGGCTAGCCCTGGGAAACAGAAGTTCTGAGGCTCTCCAGGAAGCGGAGGTTCAGGATGGGTTCATTCAACTTTCATTCAATCATTCATTCACTCACTCACTCACTCAACCACTTCCCCAACCAGCATATCCTACCTGGCTGCTCTGCCCCTGTGCTGACACTGCTGGGAGCATGACCAGGAAGCTCCCCGTGTAAGCAGACAAAATGACAAACTCCCACCCTACAGGAGGGGGAAGAATAGGAAGCCACAGACTCTTCCCAGGGGCATCAGGGAAGGCTTCCCAGAGGAGGCTATACCAGAGCTGACTTTAAAAATTAAGCATGCTTTTCTCCGGTAGAGAAGATGAGGACAGGAAGGAGAAACAACAAAATAAGCAGAGCTAGAGGGTGAGGCGTGTCTGAGACAGGGCGGCAGGAGCCGTGTGGCTGGAGGCTGCCAGCTGGGTAGGGGCAGCGGGAGAGAGTGGAGAGCTGAGGCTGGACAGACCTGCAGGGAGCAAGCCTTGGGCTCCCGCTGAGGGCTTTGGATGCCTTCCTGAGGGCCAGAATAAGCCCTTGAAGCATTGATTGATGGATTCTTCCATTGACTGGTTATTTTAAGCAGGGAGGGACAGGACTGGATTTGCAGTTGAGAAGGCTACTGGCCGCGCCACGGGGGCTTGGAGTGGAAGAGGAAGCAGGGGTTCGGGAGCCCATGCAGGAGAAGCAGGAGGCCTTGAGCCAGGCCAGCGTGGCATCCTGGAAGTGGGACATCCAAGCTGAATCTTGAAAGATGAGCAGGAGTGCACAGGCAGAGTGCTGGGGAGGGCGGCCCAGGCAGAAGCTGCGGCAAGATAAAGGCTGGGCGCACCGCGGCGGCTGCTGGTGGGAGGGGAAATTTCCACTAGTGCCGCGGGGCAGCCACGCGGCGAGGGGAGGGGCGCTGCGGGGCTGGGCGGGGCCCTGCGGGGTCCTCCGTATTCCCTGCACGTGGAACCAGGTGGGAGCAGAGGGAGACTGCGGGGCTTCCTCCCAACAAACTTCCTTTGCTGGCCACACCTTACGTGTTACAGAATCCCTTCCCGGCTCCCACGAGTGAGGCAGGCAGCAAAGGGATTACTCTTCCCACGAAGGAGATAAAGCACTGGAGGGCCAGAAAGTACAGGAACTTGTCCAAGGTCACTCAAGAGCCCAGGCATCCCGTTAAACTCCTACACGGCTCCTGTTGCAGCTCTGCTCCGGAATCACGAACGAGGCCAGCTGGTGGGGCTGGAGTGACACCCGGGAGGTAGGGCAGGCAAAGACATCAGAGACAGACAAGACCTCCCTCGTCCCTGCTTTCTGGAACTTCCCAGCCCAGAAGGCAGAGCCAGGTCCTCTGTGCTTTGGAACCTAACAGGATGGCAAA